CTTAGACCACTGTTTATGGCAAAAAAATCTTGATCTTCCTTTCTTTCGACAAATGTTGACTTTTTCGACCTTTTGGGCAGTCTGCCTCCCGAACGAGTTCGAATCAGCTGTTCGACCTTTGAGAACAGTCACGGCTTTGGCTGAGATGTCTACAGTTCGCCTACATGTTTCGCCAGGGTCCACGTTTGATTTTTTCAAGGTGCGCAATTTTCACGCAAGATTTCTCCAACACCAGCTTTTGGGCAGATCTTGGCCCAAGATTTGCTCCGAGGTGGCCTTTCGGCCGAATCTTCAACATGTTGCTCTGCAGGAAAAAAATCAAACGTGAACCCTGGCGAAACATGTAGGCGATCTGTAGACATCTCAGCCAAAGCTGTGACTTTTCTCAAAGGTCGAACAGCTGATTCGAACTCGTTCGGGAGGCAGACTGCCCAAAAGGTCGAAAAAGTCAACATTTGTCGAAGGAAAGGAAGATCAAGATTTTTTTGCCATAAACAGTGGTCTTAGTCTAGTCTTAGAATATAGTCTATCTTCCATCGCTGGGGAAGGGGCTAGGTGACTGAATGGCCTAATAGTGTAGTCTTTGTGGATCAGAGGGCTCAGCCTCTCCAGCGCAGAACGACATCTTCATAGACGTGCAGGTATCATGGCCGGGCACCACAGACTAGTCTAGTCTATACGTCGACGACGCGCAGGCTATATGTTCGACTGGTTCAGCAGGCGACAGGCCACAGCAGTGCACGGAGTTCTTCTCCAGCTGGAGGATATGCCGCATGTTTTGAGACAGGTATTTCACGTCAACATTGCAGCGTGCCGTCCTCTGCATCTGGGAACGGACATGAAGTCGCGTCAAGCTTGCTCAACCAAAAATGCTGGGCATACTGCATCCATCCATCGTGATTGTGTACCACATGCTCGACAAAGCCCTTGGCGTTATCCCCACCCACCACCAAACAGACTTACTTTGTGCCTTGCAGCCATTCGCGTCCGGAGTGAAAGTGACAAGGTAGACTACGGTTACCACTTGCAGCTCCACTTGTTCGTCAACTGCCATCGATAGGCACGAAATAGGCACGAAAACTACTCCTGGAACACGCGTCAACCAACGTGGCCTCAATGATGCTCAGGCTTGATCCTCTCGGTGATACTACATTGATTTGATACCAAGCCCACCGAGCCCATCACTTTATCCCGTCTAACTTTTCGGTGTCTCATCGACGGGTCTCAAGTCGGATGAGAAATCGCGTCTCTGGCCGCCTGCCGTGTCGGCATCTGTCTTCATGGCTACACCGTCAACATTGTGGCCTCCTTGTGGACACCCGATGCTGGCCTCCTCAGTTAAGCTGGATCCGTTCATATACAGTCGAGGGATTTTTATTGTGCCGGTATGTGTCAACAGATTTCACCGGCACTAAACCGGGCACCCGGCACTATTGCGAATAATGCCAAAACGGCACTATTGAGGGCTAGCCAATCCCTCCCTAGCGCCGGTCTGGCACTAATGAAAACGTGTGCGATTTATGCTGTAGCGCTCACGCTTGCGGGGCCAAGTCAGTACTGAAGTACGAAATGGATCGACACTGCTGCGATGTGAAGTTCTAGTGTAGGCAGACTTCCTTTCCCGCGACATGTGCGGTTTCACCCTGTCGAGCCCACAAGAGTTATGTAAAATAAGATCGTTACATTTCGGGCTACAGCAGTGCCTCACCAAGACTAGTCGACGGCGAAAGGGAAACACACATCATGCACCCGAGTAGGCTGTGAAAAGCACAAACTGCTTGAAAAGCTCTCGTTCGTACAAAGGTAAATTTCCCCCTTGGTTGCCCTCCTTCGATGTTGAAAAATGGAAATCTTGAAACAAAGCAACTCATAAGCACACCAAAGAAAAAAAAAAACACACACACACACAACTACAGCTGTAACTCCCGCCCTTGCTGCGTCGCGACAAATTCACTTGTGTCTGCCTGGCGCACCCCCTTCGATGTTGCAACAAAAAACAATACGAAAAAAAAAACAGGCAGCGCACCGCAAGAAACAACCACTGCTACAGCTGTACCCGCATCATCGCTACGTCGCGACAAATTCNACGCGAAGCGGTCCGCTATCTGCTCATGAGCGACCTTGGCATCCATGAGCTTCAGCATCTCAAGCTTGGCGTTCAAATCCGGCCGCGCACGAGGCCCCTTACGAGAAGGCTGAGAGTTCTTACTCCCCCTATTCTTGACCTTCGGGGGCTTGTCCCCTTCCACCGGTTTCAGCTCCTGGCGCCTTGCGCTTGCCGTCCTTGGCGACGCACGCACTCCAGATGCGGTGCTGTTCGTTGTCGTCAAACGTGCTGCCGCAATTGCCGTGGAGCCGCCCGCCACATCCTCCCTTGCAAGGGTGGCCGTGTGGGGCCTTCGCCGTCTTATCCTGTTGAGCGCACAGTTCACCTTTCGCACATGGCATGGTACGCGCCTGCGTAGAGCTGTTCTGGTCTGCAGCAGAACCTGGACCCTAGTCCTCTGTCTAGAGTCTGTCCTCTGCCTGGTTGTCTGTGTGTGTGTGTGTTGTGTGTGTGCGCGCGGGGGGATGAACGGGCACTATTGAGGGTGACAGTGGCGCCCAACCGGCACTATACCGGGCATGCTCACAATAGCGCCAGTATGGCACTGTTGAGGGCTCCGCCTGTGTCCGGAGATTTAACCGGCACTAAACCGGGCACCTGGCACTATTCAACCGGCACTATAAAGGTCCCTCGACTGTACATGAAAGACAACATCGCCGAGACTCGTCGAGGGAACGCCCTCGTGGCAGCACGACGTTGTTTGCTTGAATATAGTGTACTGTGGACTAGAGATGTACAGATGTTCTGTATTATGTTGTGGGCTTGTGGTCTCCCCGATCTCGTCTCGTAGGAATACCCGAAGCAGCCCCGACTTGAACGAGATGACCACTCCGTGCTTGTGGGATTTTTGCTTTCTCCTTGCTTCAAGCGACATCCGCTTATCGATAAGCAAGCTCAAGATCTCCACGCACCGGGGAGAGAAGACGGACAGGGTTGATGTCGCCCGCGGGCAGGTGAGGTGGTGGGCAAGGCGGGGGTGTCGCGGGGGCAGGTTCGATGGGCGACCTAGTGGTCAGGGTGGTTCTTTGACGAGCGATTACAATAATACGAAGGATTACAATAATAAGATTACCGTAGACACAATAATACGAAAAACCAGGAGCGTCTGAGTTTCGCATACATTTGCCGTGCTCATGTGTGTTGTGGGTGGTGCTCGAGGAATGCTTGCTGGGCCTAGGAGCCCTCCCACCCTCCCACGGAGGTCACGATTCACACACTGATTTCCGGACGTAAGCATACCCTGAAACAAGAAGAATAAAATTGGGATGAGTTGGGGTCTGCCATTCAAGCTCTTGATTGCTGCGAGCGGTATTGAACTGGTTGCGAGAGGTCAAAATGAAAGTCGGCGGAAAAAAAACGAGCGTACACCGCCAAAAGAAACAAAGGTGGATTGTTTTTTGCCCTCTTTTTGTGTTTAACTGAGACACCATCCCCAACCCTCCTTCCTTCCCTCGTTTGTTTTCATTTCCTGTCTTTGCGATGTATGTTGCATCCCGCGAAAGTCTCCTCACCAATGACATAGGGTATCTTGTGTCCAACAAAAGAAATCGTTTTATTATTTCGGCGTTGTCCCGTGGACAGGCATTGGGAAGGGAACTCGTGGTGGACAAGATGAAGAGACTGTGGTTACGCCACCACTCGAAGTTCTTGGAGAAGGAGCGGAAAGCTCTCGCGAAGACAGGAGAGGAACCCGGACCGCCGAGCAGTGGGCGGAGAAGTCGGAGACTAGGGAGGTACGTACTTTGTGACCGTCACGGAGGCATACTGAACATAGTACGTTCTGGGCACAAGGACATAGACGTGTATCTGGGGGCGAAAAGGAGTTTTATTTGTTTTCCTAGTGGAGGGTATCCTGGAGGGGAAAGTAGCACGGGTGGCAGAAAAAAAATGAAGAAACATTGGCTCGCATGCACATGCACCGCAGAGAAACACACGCACATTCTTCACAGAGAAAGCGTTGTTCATAGGCCGTTCGATGTAGTGTTGAGCTACATAGATAAAGAAAACAGTTCTGCCCTACTTTTCCGCCCGAATCCGGTCTGGTTTCGCAATTTTCCCTGTACGGTGACGGTAATTACGGACTAGGCCGACCAAGTCATCGTTGCTGTGCGTGCGCTTGCGGTCGCAGATGATAGGTCTGGAGACCGCTGTCCGTCTGTACGAATTGTGCCAAGATGTGGTGAACGGAGGGAAGGGGGTGAGCGCGGAGCACCAACATCGAGCCGAACGAACGCGAAACGAGGCCCTTGAAAACGTCAAAGCGAAGGGGATGAAGTCGGCAACGGGGACTGCTGCTGACGTGCGCGGTGCTAGGGGAGGGTTAGGTAAGCGGAAGCGGAAGTCGCGAGGGGAACCCCTCCATACCGGCTTAGCCTCGTTGGGCTCGGACGGCGTCTTGGGGGGGAGTGGGGGCGGAGAAGAAGAGGCAGACTCGGACGATGACGACGACGGGCGCTGCTCAGCAAAGGAGCAAACGTGCAGGGACGTCGTAGGGAAGGCCGTGGCGTCCGGCAACCCCGGGAGGCAGTTGAGGTCAGCGCGTCGCTCGCCTAGGTCGTATGAGCCGGAGGATGCCGGGGGGGAGGAGTTGGTGAAGACTCTCGCGGGTTACATAGTGAGGAAGATGGCAAGGGAGGAGGAAAAGGAAAGGGTACAAGGCGCGAGCTGATCGGGAGCGACGGCGGCACCGCCGCCGCCGCCGCCGCAGCAGCAGCAGCAGCTGCAGCCACGTATACCCCAGCAGGAGCAGGAGGTATCATCCAGCATGCACCAGCGAATCGCCACCGTCGAAGCCGGGGTTGAGGCCTTGGGTCAGAGGTTTCGAGGTATCAAGCAACGGCTGGACCAAATGTTGGGCGTGTTCGAGAGGTTTGCCGGAGGGGCGGCGCCGGCTGCACCAACCTTTGCCCCTTCGTCCCCCGCCGCTCCTGCTCCTGCATTCCCCGCCCCCATGGGGACGGGGAAGTATTCCAACGGTAGGGGATCTACGCCTCCGGCGCCGACCCCAGCTGCCGCCATGGCGGTAGTTTCGGGCACTTCTTCTCGTCCCGCCGCGGTCGGGGTTGACCGCCCGGGCGAAGGACTTGGGCCTGCGGCCCGGACGAATGCGCGCCTCGAGGTTGGAAGGGTGACGGGACAGGCACCAGCTGGACGGCGAATCCGCGGTGACGTCGTCCGCCTTCCGGGTTTATCGGGTCACGGGGCGTCGTCATCCTCCGCTGCACCCCTGGGAGCTCGTCCGTCTGGCGGGTTAGCTTCGAGGCCCCCATGGAAGCCTTGACGAAGATGCTGTCGCGACCGTGGTAGTGGAATGCGGGTCGGGTCTGGGCCATTATGCCTTCACCGTCAGGGGCGCAGCTCCCGCGTTTCCATAATTTGTTGCGTACGGCGGTGTGATTGATTGCGGATCGTGTCCAAGTATGTGTGTGTGCTCTTTTTTTCTGCGTGTCGTCGTGTGCCGTTCTTTTCTTCTCCATGCCTCAAGTAATCGTTGTCGGCGAGAAGGAGTCGCATGGACTGACCGTTTTTTTCTCTTTATTTTTTCAGCGACCATCCTCCAATGTACCTGCTATCGACACCACCTGTCGCGGGCGCCGGATGCGCTTTTGTTTTTTGCGTGTTTTTTTTGCAGCTTTCTGGAAAATGTCGTATTCGGGCGTGTTTTTTTTTTGTTTTCTTCGGTGTGACTGATCTTTATTTCCTTGTCCAGGTCGGTGAAAAGTATTGGACTGGGGCGACAATTTTATTTTTATTATTTCTGTTCCGATTGTTGTTGTGCCCAACTCTCGGGAAAGGTTTCGTTTATTTTCATTACATTTCTTTCGATGCATGATGGGACGATGCAGAGGGTTTCTACTATCCTATGCTCGTCATTCTCCCCATCCCTTGCGTGTTTGTATCTCTATTGCCTTTTGATGTGTTCATCTGGCTACATTGCTGGTGTCACTTCGACCAACAACAAGTTCTTTGCACATCATCGCCAGTGAGGGGTGCGTCCGGGCGTTTTTGTATTTTTGTTGCACAAGGAAGGGCTGTTACGATTCACGTATCGTTTGGCGTGTTAGACGAACCGTGAGTTGGGTACGCGTTGTCTTAGAACAGCCGTTTGAATCATTCGTGATAAAGACGGCGTGATGGCGTCGGGTTCTGAGGAGTTTTGATTCGGTGGCCGGGTTTCCCCTGTTTTCTTTTGTTTCTTGTGTTGTGGTTGTGTTTCGGTCCTTGGCGGACGTATTTCTATGCGCGAGTGGTGAGTCACTGGCATAAACAATCAAGGGAATTAGACAGTCCAAAGTTGCTGTTGCGTGAGTTGGGAGATCCATGGAGGATATGTGGTTGGAGACTTTCGGTGATTGTGCAAAGTCCTCGTTTCCTTTCGGATCTTTGGGGCCACCCCTTTCTTCTCTCTCTCTCTCTCTCTCTCTCTCTCTCTCTCTTCATCTGCGAGGAAACACACATTGCCGAGTCAGTCGGCTCTACATCACCCCTTTACAAGGGCTAGAGGTTTGGGAAAAACCACCTTCCTCAACGCGCTTGTGCGAGGGTGCAGTATTCCGAATATATGTGTAAATTAGGAGCGCATTTGCGTCCCCCCGGACATGACAATAGTACCGTAAGAGGACCGTAAACACACGGATTATTGAAACACCTCTTTCGCTGCAACAAGAGCGAATAGCCGCGAGCGAAAGGCTCGGGGACAAACCATCCGGATGATGGCCATGCACTTTGTTCCATAGCATCGCAAAACCAATAATACGCCATGCAGACGCAAACATTCGATCACGTAGTCCGGCAGACACCACACACACACGTAAGAACCCCTTCAACCCTCTTCAGCAAGGTTGGCGCGGAGAGAGGGTGGAGGCACACCAAAGAACGCCGACGTTTGGTTGGGGTAGAAGCAGCATTGGCAGTTCGCCAGGATGCCAGCTACCTTGTGCTGCTTCCCAAGCCACACGCGCTTAGACCTACTTGCTGCTTCTTTTGGAAATCGATGTAAGGCCACAAGGCCACGACTCGCCCAAACCCCCACTCGACGGACACCCTGACGGCGCTCATTTCCGCGTTGAATACCTCTTCTAGGGCGGTCAGCACCCCCAGGAAAGGCGCCATAAGCCACGGCGACGCCTGGTATGAAGGGTCACCGTATACGTCGTAGGGTTCTCCCATCTCGTCATTGAACGACTGCTCTAAAACGTTCAAAGGTGCACTCTGTCCAAGCAACGTCACATCGTGCCTACGCCCTACCTTGGGGCCCCAGAGTGGTTTCAGAGGAGGGTATGGCGTGACGAAGGTGCCAGCGGATGTTGCCCTCGCCCTGACACTGCCTGTGGAGGCTGTCCGCACCGACCACCTTGGTCCGGGATAGATTATTCTGGGGCATGCCCGAGACGCGGATTTGCGAGGTGTTCAACTTTACGATAGAGGCGATTTACGAGCCTTGGGCGCATTTGGTGGAGCACTTGCAGGTTGATGCTATTCTCCCGAAGATCGATACATGTTGAGGCTATTCACGCCAAGGCGGCACCTCTCCCGCGTTGCCGGGTTTTCTTTTATGGTTCTGTTCGTAAGATTGCTCGACCTGTTCGTTGGCAGCGTATCTATTATAATGGTTGGAAGCGTGTACACGCCTTGAAATACCAGGCGGTTGATTCGCCGGACGGCATAACGAGCGGTTGTAACCGGAGGACACCATGGTGGAGGGGTAGGGCAGGCTTTAGTACTTACAGCGAGAGGTGGCTCCACGGTTTCTAATCAGACGTGTAGAAAATCGGTGTGCATAAAACAACGACCACCGTAAAGCACGTTCTTCAGAGGTATGCATACCGACATCTTTCTTGATGCGCTGTACATCAGCAGTTGCGCGATCCTCACTCGCTGTGGCGTACTACGAGCGCAACAGCAATAAGTTTCCCTCAAGATGCAGCACGATCATGGTGGTTAGACGTAACCCTCCGCTGCTGCCGCCGAAAGGGCCATCGGATTTGGCAAGTCTAACACCTTCTTCCTGCTCTAGAGAAGCTTGCGTTGGTGCTACGTGTGTTCGTGACCTCGCTCGTCTGCGCATTTTTTTTTTATCGTGTTGACTTACGTGTGTGCGCGTGTTTTCTTTTCAAACAGCAGAACAACACCAGCAACAAGCCTACCTGTCGGATTCAGGGCGCATCTCCAGGACTGCTGCAGCCCAGAAAGTAACCCCAAGTCGTACCTACATGTAGCGTGCAGCCTCTATCCCCGCCCTTCCCTACGGACATGGCGACCACTTGTGCTGTGTTGCGACTCTTCGTGCCACACGCTTACCTCGAAACTTCGAAGCTGTCCGGAAGCTCCAGCCTTTGTAGAAGCTGCAAGAAATGCGGTTACTCGAAGCAAAATACCTCCTTGAAGTCAAAGCCCCCGATAGCTTCGAAGAAGTTGAGGTTCGGGAACACGCCTTCAAGCGTGTTCGGGGCAAGTAGCTCATGATACCGACGCCACTCGTACAAGCAGCAGACACAGAGCAGCATGCACAGATCCTCTTCCCCAGCTACGCCTCAAATCAAAGCTAGGAGGGTCATTTGCGAGCATGACTGATATCGCTCGTAGCGAACTCTCCCGCGGTTCAGTCGCGCCATGAGTTTGTGTCGCGCGCAGCCGCCACGACAGCAAGTGCAGCAAGGCTTGAGTGGCGAGCAAGTTTGAAGAGGTGCCCGACGGGGCCTGGGGCCACGTGTCCAAAAATTTTACTTGGGTGGGGGGGGATACTCGAACCGACACAACCGGCACCAGCAATGCGTTGTTAGTTCATGCTGGGCGAGAGCACAATTTCCAAACGCACTTTTTTTTTACCCCGCCGAGAGCACAATTTCGGGGGTATTTTTTACGGGGAAACCCCGCATTAACAAGCATTTTTCACAGTCGAAATGGATGGATGAAATATGACCAGCATTGTCGGTTGAGCAAGCTTGACGCGACTCCATGTCCATCCCCAGATGTAGAGGACAACACGACGCAACGTCGACGTGAAAACCATGTCTCAAAGGTGCGACATCCAGGAGACGAAGATTTTAGACTATTAGTCGAACGTACACGCACAACTCTCCGCCTCCCCCCTCCTCCCCTCCCCGGGGGAGGCCGAGGCCCGCAAGTGCAGTTAACCCTCGAAAAAACCACCCAACAACGACGGATATACGGTCCCTAGCACCGTGTAGGAGAGGATCCTGAGTTTGGCGGTCGGGAG